GATTGAAGTTGCTAAAAATTACGTTAAGTTTTGGCAATTTTTTTTTCTTGAACGTGTAAAGCAGTTCCTTCCATATCAAGATATTTTCCAACATCTTTTGAAAGATTTCTGCAACCTTGCGGAGTGCTGCCAGTTCTTCTTTTTATCACATCCCATGTAGCGAACAAATGTGGCACGTTCCAGAAACCGGATTTGCCGCTTTTGACAATTCTCAAGTAAAGGTAAACAACGCTTTAGAAGCTTTTGATGTACTGAAATTTGATAACACTTTCACAAAAATCGCCGTTTTTTTTAACATTTTCGCTATTAATTCTTTTTATAAATCGTATATTTTGCAATTTAACATAATAAAACCACGTTTCCAGTCGAAAAATTGAAATTTGAGAAAATTTAATATTTTACAGTTTATTTTATAATCACTTTCTGCCTGTTGTTAGTGTCTAGTGTTGGACAATTTTTGCTCTTAAAATTAAGAAAATTATGTAGAGCAAAAATAAAACTACTCAAAAATACGAATATGTGGTAGATTTCAGACCTTGTGTGGTAGATGCTCAAAAAAGTGGCAGATCTACCACAATGTGGTAGAAGTCCGATCACTGATCAAATTTACTGTTGATAGAGAGAGAGAGAAGCAAGGGCAACGTCACCGCCATGAGGTGGTGAGTTTTCGTTAACACGCGAATCCCATAAGGTAGATCGTGTCTACGTCGACCTACGTATACGCTATGTCGTTGACTGTTTGAGATTTTATCCAGCAGAAAAATTTCTGAGAATTTAGAAGCCTTCGCTCTCAAAGAGACCAAATATCCACAGAAGTAGGAGAGCGCAAAATTTGCAAAAACTTGCAACATTTGAAACAGCTGATCACTTCCACCGTTGCCACTGGTGGTTCATTTGGCTATTTATTTTCTGCTTGGTAAATTTTCCCGATTTGGCATTTTATACAATTGAATAGTTTTGGATAAGAAAAACCTTTTTAAAATATAAATTAATTATATCGGAATAAATAAGTTATTTTTCTCACAATTATTTGTGATATCACATGGTGACGCATTCAAAAATAAGAGAATCTCCTCCAAACACCCATTATTGATCCAAAAAATAGATATAGCTACAAATGTAGCTTTAAAATTATCAGCCCAATTCTGAATATTCCCGAGGATTTAATTTGTCGCGGATTTTACTTTTCTTGAGAATAAAATTGTCATTTCAACAGTCAACCAACCAAAATCGACAACTTCAGAAAAAAACATTTCAGCATGCTGCATTTTAATCTATTTTGGTATATTTAAAGGAAATTATGTTACAAACGAAAATGTCATACGGCAACCATAGTCAGCACAAACTAAAGTAAGCAAACTGGAGATTAATAGTAAATTAACTCAAAATAAGTTCCACAAACCTTATGCTTAATAACTTTACTCTCTTTTTCGTTGCAAACTAGCATTAATTATAATATTAGCAATAAATAATTCAAATTTAAATTCAATAAACAATTCAAATTTAAAATTTATTTATTTACAAACATGTGTTTGCGATCAGCTGATTTTCTTACTTGCAAGTTTTCGCTGGTAAAAATTTTTCCAGCAGAAATTTGCAGCTCTCTATCACATTTTGCTCTCTCAATTTCAATGGCTTTATTTCTCATATGTAAAATTTTTTCTTATGGCTCTATTTCACTTTCCCCATGGAAATAAAGCCATATGGCCTTATTTCTCCATGTGAAGTGAAATAAAGCCATATAGCTTTACGATTGTTAAAGCGCAGTTACCCACGGACGCAAAAACGGAGAACGTGTCAGCTGATACGATCAGGGTTCGGATTTGCCCCATTTTAGCCCCTCTCTCGCTTGTTAGTTTGCTCTGAGCTTGCGCAACTCACGAGCAACAAGCGAGGCTGTTTGCAAACGAGCATTCGTTAAGTACGAGCGCACGCGCTGAGCAGTCAGCGAGCGAGTAAGCAAACGAGGGCAGCGCAAGAGTAGAGCGGCAAGCAAACGAGGGCCTCATTAGCTCTGCCCTCGCGAGGGCGTCGTTGCGAGCGAGGCACTCATTTGCAGCAGCAGACGAGTGAGGCGAGTAAACGAGCGAGGCAAATGAGGCAAGCAGATTAGACAGGCAAACGGGTTGTTTGGTCAGAAAAAATGTATGTGATAAAAATGGCATTAACTAAGAATTTCGAGTAAAGGATTGTATGCACACATGCAGATATGTATATACATACATATATACACATATGTATGTATTTATTTATGTATACCCAGTAAGAACCCTATCGTTAATGCGTTATATACGCCTAGTATTACAAACAGTTTGTGTGAGAAATTCAAAAACTTTCCATCATTTTACATAGGGCCCCTGGCGAAATCTAACGCATAATCTTTTCACGTGTGAGCAGTTTCCTCTTTGTTTTACATGGAATTCGGTATGTAGTTGTCGCTTTTCAATCAAACATTATTATGCGATCAATAACGTGTTGTATAACGCAAAGAACGGCATATGAATATCGCTAATATGCAAATGTGTTGGTTTTTATTAACAATTTTGTAAGTGTATTGGAGAATGCGTTATTCGTTCTTGCTGGGTATATTCTCATGCACAGAATAATAGATGCGTGTTATTTTGACCAGTTTTATCTACTAGGTTTTTCAAACACTTTTTCGCTGTAGCGATTTTGCTTTTTTGGGAGCTTTTATTACTTTTTTTCAATATGTAAGGGGCAATGCTTCCGATAAATAATTTGTATTTTTATTCTTACATACAAGTAATTCAGCTAAGTAACTATGTTATATATGTATAAAGGAGAATATAATATTTATAAAAATCACTAATTTGTCTTTCATTTAATAAATGAGTAGGACATTCGCATTTTCAAATGAATATTCCTGGTTTAGTCCCCATACATATGTATGTATATAGAAAATACAAACTACTATTTGGGGTGTAAAACAGTATTTGATAATTAAGGCTGGTCCACATAGAACTTTCGCGCTGACTTTGTAGTTGGCACTGGTTTGACAGAACGCACGTTAAAAGTATGCGTGCTACAATGAAGCTTGGCGGAGACTACTTTGGCCACTAAATTAACATATTAATGAGAGATAAATTAATATTTCATATCAATAATTGCATGAAAAATTAGTTGCGTTCCCTAACTCGCAAGAAGTTGCAAGAATTCACAGGAATTTAGCAGAAAGCGTTCCCGTACTCAGTTCTCTGGCACCTTTTTCCTTTTGACAGTTTTACAGGTTTTAACCCCGAAAAGTTGGGGAACGCAACTATTATATTTCTTGCCCTCATTTGATTGAAAGGAAAAAATATTTCATATAATTTTATTTATTTGCAACAGCTGGTGACCGACGCAGCGATCTTTGTGTTGGCCTTAGCGTTGCCAAATTTTGGCTATGTGGCTGCTTTAAAGTTCAACGCCAACGCTACGCCAAAGTTGGTTGTGAACCGGCCTCTATTCTTTGTTTACGCAAATTTTCCCATGTCTACATATCCATACATACATACATATGTACATATGTCCTTGAACAACAGGCCACAAATACATATTTTCACCAAGAATTATATTTCATTCAGGTATACAGCATAACTGCTACAAGTAGCAAACTACTTTGGGGTGTTAACAAGTGCTTACGTGTTTTTTGTTTCTGCGGCACAAACGATTATAATATCTTCGTTGCTTATACGATGTTTCCACGCTTCGTAATTCGCTCTCTAAGACTGTGTTCAAACAGGCCAATTAGCTGAGGCAATTAAGCATTAAATTGCGGAATTGAGTTTTGTGTTCAACCATATGTCAGCATGCATTCGGTACAAACACACAATTTTAGGTACATTTGGAACGTAGCCAAACAACTTCTCAGGAAATCAGTTCTTATTTTTATTGACATTTCAATGCATTTTCTGTTGCGGGCAACTGGTCCAATACCTCCCCTTCTTTGTGAAGGGGCATACAAATGAAAAAAAGAAGGTGGTCAAAGTAATGCAACTCTAGTTGATTTCGCCAGATAGACGTCTAGCGCTGCTCGAAGAGATTCTTTTCATAGCCAAAATTTGTTTAATGTGAGTACAAAAGTTGATGTGGTATCTATGGGAATTTTTATCCTCCTATCTTCTTTATATAGAAATACATATTTACTTTTTGGTACATCTATCCACTTTTAGATAAAGCTTTCCGTAAATTAGGTACAATTTTATAATTAAATTTTCCATCCCTGCTGGAATATCAGCTGTAAAAGAGGGACAGAAACAAACAGCTGATTGCTCTTTGTTCAATAAACATACCTCCAAGTCAAAACTAAACATACCTAGGGTTGCATAGAGAATCTGACACAATTGAATTGATAAATTGAATTTTTGTATGATAAATTGGGTAACAATTAAGGCTTAAATTGGTGAAAAGTTTCTTAATTGCCAATTAGGCCCCTGTTTGAACATAGTCCAAGTCATTCGCTAAGTAATTCGTGAGTTACCCTGTTTCCACGTCACAACACATTAGTAATTCGTTTGGCAGCTCTAGTTCTTGTTCTTGGTCTTCGCTATTTATTATTATTTTTGTGTACTGCAAATATCGAAGATGGAGCTAAAATTTAAGTTATCATCAACAATTTAAATTTATATAGAGAATATTTTATTGATACTATTCTATAACTAGAAAAAATGCCAGCGAATGGGACCAGGCCGGTGAAAACTTCGATATATTTCCGATAAATATTAGAGAAGGCACCGATTCGTTCGTCATGCGTATGGTAATTGTAGTAAATCTAGCAGAGTTTAAATAAAAATACGCAGTAGACGTCTGTTCAATTTGAATAGCTTTAATCCATTTGCCAAAGAAAATACAAGAGTGTAAAAACATATTTTTTTTTAGAGATTGTACAAGTGTGAATGCCAAAAATATAAAGGTTGGTTCACAACATGAATGTAAATGATTATAATGGTTGGTTCACAACATCCCCACTAAATTATTACATGAAAAATAAAGATAAAAATTTAATTATGTGAAAGTCCAAAATTCTTTGTGCAGAAGGCATGTTTACCGTTATTAACCGGTTTTGTCAAATTATCAGAAACCATTTGAATTGTGTTGGTATATTCCAGCTTTACATTTCCGTTGTTGATGCACTCTCGAACAAAGTGATGACGAATATCAATGTGTTTCGTTCGGGGACTATAAATTTCATTTTGACCCATGTTGATTGCACTTTGATTGTCGCTGTAAATTTTGATCGGTTTTACTTCATCGGTTGTTAATTCCGCCAAAAATTGTTGAATCCAAATTGCTTCTTGTGAAGCAGCAGAGAGCGCCATATATTCCGCTTCAGCACTTGATGGTGCAACTGCAGGATGTGTTTTGCTGGTCCATGAAATAGAGCCATTTTGGTATTTAAAAACATACGACGTGCATGACTTTCTATCATCGATGTCTGATGTCCAATCTGCATCACAATAGCCATGTAATTCACTATTTTTACCGTTCGGTCCAAATGTCAATTTTAAATCGCTTGTCCCTTTTAAATAGCGAAAAATGCGTTTAACCGCATTCCCTTGTGGACGACCCGGTTGATTGTTGAATCCACTTTCACTACTTATTGCAAATGTAATGTCGGGTCGTGTGCATTGCGATAAATATAAAATGCTGCCCACCGCTTCTTGGTATGGTACGTTTTTCATGTCTTCCAATTCATAACTAGTAGTAGCTGACATTTCCTTTGTTAACTTCGTATTGGTATCTACCGGTATATTAATTGGATTGCATTCAACCATACGAAATTTTTCAATAATTGATTCCGTGTATTTTGTTGATCCAACGAAATGCTGCCACACATGCGATCTCTTGTGATACGCGTTCCGATACAGCTGTTAGCTTGACCCAAATCTTTCATGCTATAGTTATTTTTCAAATTCGCCTTCAATTGATTTTTCCATCCAAAAAATCAATAAATCATCGACATAAACGGCCACAAAAACCATGCTGGATGCCTCCCGACGAACATAAATGCAGGCATCGGTCTTCAAACGCTTGAAACCTGAGTTGATCAAAGTTTCGTTCAGTTTCACGTTCCACTGACGACTGGCTTGTTTCAATCCATAAATCGCTTTCTTGAGTAAACAAACGCGACCAGTGCCATCATCGAAACATTCAGGTTGACGAATGTAAATCTGTTCGTCAACATCACCTTGAAGAAACGCCGTAACAGCAACCATTTGATCGATATCTAAATTGTGTTTTGCAGCCAGAGCCATAAGTAAACGAATTGAGGAATATCTTACCACCGGAGAAAATGTCTCTTCGTAGTCAATGCCGGCTCGCTGACTACATCCTTTTGCAACCAATCTTGCCTTGTGTCGAACAATTGAACCATTTGCATCTGTTTTCAGTTTGAAAACCCATTTCGAATTGATGGTTTTTCGATCTTTGGGGAGTTCAACCAGTTCACAAGTGCGATTTTTTATTAACGATTGATATTCTTCATTCATGGCTTGCCCCCAATTCTGCTTATCACTTGCTATCGCTTCTTCAACTGTTGCTGGTTCATCCATATTTTCGCAAGCCAAATATGATACGAAATCTGGACGCTCTACTGGCTTGTGAACTCGATCCGTACGTCGCAATGCTTGTGGCCTATCATTGCCTGGTCGATTTGTAGGATTTTGATCAACATCAATGTCACCTGTTTCATCATCAGTGTGAACAAAGTCATTCAACCCTATCAATGGTATTTCCTGAGCATATTTAAAAACTTCTTTGTGATCGTCATCTTCATGGTTTGTATCATGGTCCTCAGCTTCACCATCGTCTATTACAAAATTTCTGGAATCACTAGAGCATGATCTTGATAAATTACCTGACTCCAAGAAAATTATATCTCGACTATTAATTGCCCGGTTTGAACTTGAATCATATACTCTATAAAAATTAGCTCCTTTGATTTTGCATAAAATTTTTTTCATCTTTCCTAAGGGACATTCACCATAACACGCGATCCAAAATACGAAGATGACTTAAATCTGGTTTTGACCCTGTCCACAGTTCAAATGGCGTATTGTTTTTTAAAACCCGAGACACAGAACGGTTCTTTAAATAAGTTGCCGTTGACATTGCTTCGGCCCAAAATTTCTTTGGCAAACCAGCATCCTGCAACATACATCTTGCTCGTTCGGCCAATGTGCGAATTGAGCGTTCAGCAAGTCCATTTTGCTGAGGAGTATAGGGCGTTGAAGTTTGTCTTTCGATTCCACACGACTTGAACAACTTTTCGAAACGTTGATTACAAAATTCTGTACCGTTGTCAGATCTGAATTTTTTAATTGATCGACCTGTTTGCTTCTCAACATATGCCTTGAATTAAATGAACTTATTGAATGTTTCATCTTTCATCTGCTGCAATCGTCGACCAAGACTAAAGCATATCGAGCACCACCAACCGAAACATGTTCCGTCGGGCCAGCCAAATCAGCGTGTACGAATTCCAAAAGATATTTTGCTCTAGAACCATTTCTGCTAAACGGTTGCCGTTGTTGTTTGCCTTTTAAACATGTAACACACATATTTACCCCACTTTCTTCAACAAATGAAATACCGTCAACAGCGCCGGCTTTCATCCTTTTAATATCAGCAGCATTTAAGTGGCCAAAGCGTCTGTGCCACGTTTGAAAACTTTCATTCGATGCAAGTGCAATTAGACTGCAGTTTTTCATTCTCTTTAATCGATACAACCCTTCGATCTGAGCAGCCGTTGCAACTAATTCGTTGTCTTTGTTTCGAATTTCACATCTATCGGAGAAAAATTTAACGCTGTTTCCATGTTTTGTCATTTGACTAACGGAAATTAAATTTGCCGTTAATTCCGGAACACACAAAACATGTTTAGCTTCAATCGTAATCGGCCGTCCACTAGCCTCTGCTAATAATTTAACCGCACCGCACAACTCAACTGTCATCTTCACACCATTCGCTGCAGTGATTGACGGAATTGATGGTTTTTCAGCGCCAAAAATCCAATTTCGGTTCATGGTTAAATGTTGCGTTGAGCCAGAGTCAATATACCAATCGTCTCGGTTGTAATTTCCAGAAAAGAATACCGCATTGCAAGTTACATGTGATTTTTTACCTGAGTTACCGCCTGAATCCAATTTTGCACTTGGTTTGTTATCAGATTTTTTTATCGGGGCATTCTGGAGATTTGTGACCTCTTTTATTGCAACTATAACACCGGACACCTTTCTTATTGCGTTGACACTTCTTGGCTCCATTAAGGTACATATTTTCTTCACTGGTCGAAGACATTTCTTGCAATAATTTTGTCATGATTGCATCACTCGATATTTTAGTATCAGTATTATCCAATGCCATAACCATTGGTGTAAATTTATCGGTAAGACCGCACATCAAAAACATCGCCAACCATTCATCAACTTTGATTCCAATTGCATTTAGGCGCTAAGCCGCATTGATTATTGTCGAATCATATGACTGCATCGAATCGCAATTTTTCAATTTAGTTCCAGTCAATTTTTTCACCAAACTAATTATGTGTACGCTACCCTTGTCTTCAAACGTTGCTTGCAATTTTTCCCAAACTTCCTTAGCATTTGAAGCATCTTGCACATGCACATAATTCGTGGGCTCAAGGCTCAAAATTATTGTTGCCTTGGATTTGCTTATTTTACCCGGATCTGTTTCAGTTCCAAGAACCGCGTTCCAGTGATCAACATACTCTAAATACGTTTTCATAGCGAATTCCCACGATGCATAGTTTTCACGTCCTTTCAACTTTTCCGTGAAGGATAAAAATCCCGATATGTTGTTGCTCGACATTGCTTGTAGTCACAGTCTACCGGAGCAAAAAAATCGTTCAAAACGAAAAAATATTATATGTTCATCTAGAACTAAGAAAACACGTGTTCGTTCACTGGTGAAATTCATCGGCCAGACACAGCAAATAGCAGACACGTTATTTGACGTTCATACAGAACTCGACGCAACACACTTTGGATGATGTTATTCAAATGTTTGTCCACAATCTTTCCAATCGACGAAACCAGAAATTTCAAACTAATTAAAATCCTGTTTTTAGGACTGGGCTCATGACCTGTAGTAAATCCAGCAGAGTTTAAATAAAAAATACGCAGTAGACGTCTGTTCAATTTGAATAGCTTTAATCCATTTGCCAAAGAAAATACAAGAGTGTAAAACATATTTTTGTTAGAGACGGTACAAGTGTGAACGCCAAAAATATGAAGGTTGGTTCACAACATGAATTTAAATGATTATAATTGTTGGTTCACAACAGTGATTAGATCTCAATTACCTACAAATCAGGTAATTCGCTCTCAAAATTTTGTATGGCGAATTACGTAATTCGGAAGGTAATTAGCAAGGCGAATGACGAATGGGAGAGCGAATTACAAATGAGAGAGCGGATTACGAATTGTGGAAACGCCGTATTACTTTTCTCAAAATACATGCTTATGGACATACATACATACATATATAAATATGCATGTTATGTATGTACATATGTATGTATATAACTCTAAAAAATATTTCATTTCATAATCTATGCTTATGTATGTATAAATTTTATTTGTTGTGTTAAATGCTGCCCTAATATAATATTCACATATTTATATGCAAATGTACATATGTACATACAATTATTAACATACTTTCGTACATAATCTATTGACTTCATTCCCACATTTTTATGCACAAAAATGCATGTGTTGTATAGTACACTCGGAGCGCTCGCTCGTCGCTCACTCGTCTTACCTAGAAGAGCGAGTATGCAGACAGCTACTCGCCTCGCACTGCGAGCTAGGCAACACACAACAGCCTTGCTCGTTTAATAGGAGCAAAAAAGCAGCGCTCGCTCGTTTGCCAAGCAGGCCAAACTTCTCGTGCCTCGCCTCATTGCTGCTACGAGCAGTGTTGCCAGAACTTTTTGGAGGAACCGGCTAAATTGGCAAATAAAACCGGCTAAAATGTTTCAACTAAATTTCACACGTTTTATTTAAATAAATCACGAGTAAAAAGACTATTTCTTGGAGAGAAGTTACAAATTCGAGCCGGAAAAATTTTGCCAGCGAGAATTTGCAATTAGGAAAAACATATGATTGTGGCGCATGGTTGGATTTTTTGTCGACGATAATTTGAATAAGCAAGTTCGTTAAATTTAAAAATTTACAAACTGGAGCGATTTTAAAATGAAAAATGTAGGTTAATACTTGTTTACTTAATTAATTTAGTTAATTCCAATGATTTGAAAGGTACTCGGCAAAAAAAAAACTATTCTTAATCGGAATGCAATCTCAACCAGAGTCGATATAGTAAACCCGACAAAGAAATTGAAACGTATGTTGAAGAAAGTCGGACTGACAAGATATATACACGTAGATTCTGATTTTTGCCCCTCTGAAAGAATTTTAAAAATTCTATACAAAATTCTTTTGTTTGAAATGCAACCGTGGACACTAGCTGGCAGAAAAACTTGTGAATTCCTGCAAATTTGCTTTCGTGCAGAAATTTGCAAGTTTCTCTACTTAAGAGAGAATTTGGGAGTATTTTTTCTTACTATCTGATATTTTGAGTAATAATTCTCGCTGGATTTTCGACGAACAAACCTATTGTCTTCCCTACAAGGCCTTTTCAGACTGGCCGATTCTCAATACACTCAAATAGAAGCCAAACACATAAAAAACGC